CTCCTATCAGGCTCCATTTGTGAAGCTATCATGCACCATGGTCTGACACAACCTTCTGGACCTTCTAGACTTCCTGTGACCATTAGAACCTCTCCTGCTTGCCTTCGAGTTAGGCAGGGCATCTGACACTGGGGCCAATTGGCCGATCAACAAACAGACCCAGGCCATCTGTGTGGGCCTGAGGAATGAGCACAGATTCCAGGATCAGGAAGGCCAGGCTGGAGAGCTGGCTCTGCAGAGTCACAGGTATGTGAGCTCAGCCAGGCACCTCTCAGAGCTTCAGTTCCCTCCTCTCTCAGTGGGCCTCCCTATGTCCCCAGGCTGTTGAAGCGGCCTAGAACTGTTTGCACAGAGCTTCCCTAGTGCGGGGTCTGGCGTGCAGCGGGTGCTCGGGTGCTCGAAGGAGACAGCTGCTGCTGTTAGCATTCTGATTGAGTGCTAATGAGCCCGGCACATTAGTGGCTGAGCTGGGCCTAGAACAAGGGGCTCTGGCTGTAGGCCCAGCACACTTGCGCCAAACACCACCCTGGACTCCCAGCGGGACAGGCCACAGGTTCCCAGCCTCCACCTTCCTGCCCCAGCAGGAGCTGAGAGGGGGTGCTGGCGTCATCCTTCCCCCGATCATCTTAGGTGAGGGGCCAACTTGGCATCAGGCCGGGAGCCCACGCGGCACAGCCTGCACCCACAGCAGATGGGAAGTGGGGGTGTGGGAGTCGTGTTCTTCTGATTCAGACACTGGGACGAGGAGGGGCTCACACACGATCAGCAAGCCCACCTCCTCCATGCCCTTCCTGGCCGCTGCAGAGCCGGAGGCTCTGACAAAAGAACAGCTTGAGCGCACGCCTCCCCAGCCTGCACGTTTCGCCTCGAAACGTCGGCGTCTGTTTAAATAGCCTCGACGCCCTGTTCTTTCTGGCAGGTCTTCCTCCCTCTGTTATTCCTGGCAGGTCTTCCTCCCTCTCTCCTTTTGCTGGAGAGAGGCAGTGCTGGCTCCAGGTGTATCGGCTTGGCCCAGCCCCATTGCCATAGACAATTCAAAAGGACTCCTGCCTCAGTTTCCCATATGTGAAATGGGGATACAAAGAGTGCCAGCCTCAGCGAGTGGCTGTGAGGATTCATGAGTAAACGCATGCCAGTGCCAAGGATGGGCCTGGTGCGCAGCCTCACTCAGCACGTGCCCCTCTGGCCTCATGCTTGGCATAGAGAGGGGTGGGGAACTGAGGACAGAACAGTGCCTGGGACCAGGAAGGCCCTCCCCTGGCCATTCCAGCCCTGAGATTAAATGCACCCTGTGAGCCGATTGTCTCAGTCTAAGGCTTCGTGGAAGTCCATCGGTCTCAAACCCAGTGGGTAGCTGAACCTGTCACCCTGTGGGCCATCCAAGTCACTTGAAAGCTCTGGAGGTAATGAGCATCCCCATCAGCTAATGTAGTCAAGCCCCCCAGTTTGGTTTTTTTTTTTTTTTTTTTTTTTTTTGAGACGGAGTTTCGTTCTTGTTACCCAGGCTGGAGTACAATGGCGCGATCTCGGCTCACCGTAATGTCCACCTCCTAAGTTCAAGCAATTCTTCTACCTCAGCCTCCCGAGAAGCTGGGATTACAGGCGCGTGCCAACATGCCCAGCTAATTTTTGTATTTTTAGAAGAGATGGGGTTTCACCTTGTTGACCAGGATGGTCTTGATCTCTTGACCTCGTGATCCACCCGCCTCGGCCTCCCAAAGTGCTGGGATTACAGGCGTGAGCCACCGTGCCCGGCCCGGCATTACACTTTTATAGTCCGTGAGGGCCTGTCACTTGTCCTCCCATCCTTCCATCTGTTCTGGGAATGGACAAGAGGAAGCCTGTTTTACCCCCCACACACTTTTTTTTTGAGACTGAATTTCGCTTTTGTTGCCCAGGCTGCAGTGCAATGGCATGATCTCGACTCACTGCAACCTCCACCTCCCGGTTCAAGCGATTCTCTTGTCTCAGCCTCCTGAGTAGCTGGGACTACAGGCATATGCCACCATGCCCAGCTAATTTTGTATTTTTAGTAGAGAAGGGGTTTCTCCACATTGGTCAGGCTGGTCTCAAACTCCTGACGTCAGATGATTCACCCACCTCTGCCTCCCAAAGTCCTGGGATTACAGGCGTGAGCCACCACGCCTGGCCCACGCTTTTTTTTTTTTTTTGTCTCACTCTGTTGCCCAGGCTGTAGTGCAATCATACGATTATGACTCACTGCAGCCTCAGCCTCCCAGGCTTAAGCAATCTTCCTGCCTCAGCCACCCAAGTAGCTGGGGCTCCAGGCATGTACCACCATGCCCGGCCAATTTTTGTATTTCTTGTAGATACGGGGTTTCACCATGTTGCCCAGGCTGGTCTCGAACTCCCAGGCTCAAGTGCCTGTCTTGGCCTCCCAAAGTGCTGGGATTACACACATGAGCCACCATGCCCAGCCTGTCCCCACTTTATAGGAGGGGAAACTGAGGCTTTGTAGTTAGTCTGTACCAGAGCCAGAGTTTGTAGGCACCTTGGCAGACGAAGCCCTCAGGATAGCAAAAATGAATGTAACTGGAGAGGCCAAGTGCACTGTGAGGCTCCTACATCCATCCCATGCCCGCCTTCACCTGGCCTCCACCCCAGCCTGGTGGGCCAAGTTGGCATCTGCGTGGATGGGCAGCCACAACTTCTCACGCAGGACATGGAAGGGGATAATGGTGTCCAGAGTCCCCCTCTCCCACTGCTTCATGGGTCCCTTTCCAGAGCCAGCCTGGACGACCTCAGGGACTTGCCCCATCTTACAGCCTGGAATGGAGAGAGGTTGATCCTCAGCCCCTCCCCAGTGCCAGCAGAAGACAGGGGTTGCTGAGTGTGAGTGGCACCAGAGCCCCTGCCCTGTGAAGCAACCTCACCTTTCCCGTGGGAGCCAGGGGACCCGTGGGACAGAGAGGGAATTGGGTTTCTGGAGAGGCTGCCTGGCAGGTGCCAAGAGAGGCTGCATGGCAAGTGATGCAGAGGGGGCGGGCGAGCGGGACTGCTAGGCTCAGATCCCACTCTGCTGCTGCTCCTGGCATGATCTTGGGTGACTCACCCCAGTTTTCCTGCCCCTGAAATGGGGACACTAGCATGTGAAGCAGATTCAGAGACAGAATGTTTACGAGGTGTCTGCTGGGGCTCAGCCGGCAGTAAGAGCATCCCATTCAGTCTTCCCACCTATCCTATGCACCCAAAACCATGCCCTCAGCTCCCACTGAGGGCCAGGCTCTGGGCACTTCCCTTACACATCATCATTTAATGCTGACCAGTGCTGGAGGCTGAGCATTCCAAGTGCCCGTCTTATAGAAGGGGAAAAATTATCCTGGAGGTGTTAGCCCACCTGCCCCCATTCTCATGGTGCAGTGGCAGAGTTAAGGGCCGGTCCCTCAAACTCCTGAATGCAAAGTTCCATTGCTTTCCACACTGGCAGCTCCCAAGTCTCAGGCACTGGGCATGGCAGTGGTCCTTTGCCCCCAGCACTCTGACACAGGGGACACACTTCTCCCCTTGTCACATGGCTAGAAAACAGGCACAGAGAGGTGAAGGAGGAGTGCGCAGCTCAGAAGGAATACGCGGCCCTCAGTCAAGCAGCCACCAGGGTGCTCAATGTCACCCAGCAAATGACTGACACGGCCATCGGCTGGGCAAGGGATTCTATGCTTGTCCCAAGCTGCAAGGCCATCCCCTTGCAGCTTAGGAAGCTCAGGAAAGGTGGGGTTCTTGGTTTTCTGTTTTGCCTCCAGCCTCGACTTCAGCACCTGGGGCAGTGCCCAGCACAATGGGGGTGCCCTCTGAATGTTTGCTCAGTGATGGAATCACAGAATACAGTGAGTTCTTGTCTGGGGCCTAAGCTGGGAGCAAGGAACTGACTAAGCAAAAACTTCCCCGGCCTTTGGGGAGTTCGCAAGGATCAGGCCTGGTAGTGGGTACCATGGAGGATGGGGAAGGTTTAATTTAGCTCCTAGCAGCTCATTGAATTATTAATCCTCTACTGACGTTTCTATGACGTCTGCCACAGACTGTCCCCTTCAAGAGTCTGGGCCTGTGGCCTCACCTGCCACCCTCCACCCCAGAAGGGCCTTCTTCCAGCAGGAGAGGGGGAAGGAAACCCTCCTAGCTCCTGTCCCAGTTCTGCTGCCCATGGGGTCTTAAGATTGGTCTGGCATGTGGTGGGGAACTCTAAACACTTGGACCTCATCCTGGGCTGGATGAGGGGTGTCAGAGCCTACCCTGGAACACTCTGCCCTAGACAACAATTGCAATAAGCAGGCTCTTGTTTATTGATATTTACTACTTAGTCTTCCCCACAACTCTGCAAATAGGTGCAGCTCTCTTTTGAGAGTTCAGAGAAGTCAAAGAATTTTCTGTGAGTCACATAACAGATTGGTTCCCGAGCTGGTTTTGAACTGTGGCCTGTCTGACTCCAAAGTATATGATTTTAGCCACCTGCCACCCTGTTATGGTCAAGGCACTGAAGCCTTGCTCCAGAAGTCCCTGGTTCACACCCCGGGTGGGCCCAGTGGCCACATAGAGCCTTTTGCAGAGGACCATTCTAGGAAGCTTGCTGAGTGAGGGAACGAAGACTAAGACAGTCCGCCCCTTTACCAGCCCATCAGCATCTACCCTTACTGCTATGAAGGGCTAGGGTGGGGCACTCAGCTTTGACTGCACCCTGGAACCACCTGGGGGACCTTCACAGCACTCATGGCCAGGCCCCACACCCCCGCCATGGGCTGAGCTGTCCTCGAGGGCAGGGGAGAGCTCTGCCTGCTGCTCACCGTCATGCACCAGCACCGGGAACAGAGCCTGCCAGGCACCCAGGATGCATCTGTTGCCTGCTGTTGGCATTGTCATCCCCATTTTGCATACTGGGGAAGCTGAGGCTCCCCTGCAGTCACTGATCAGGGGTGGCAGCCATCTGAGTGTCCCAAGCCTTTCCTTCCTCCCCCCAATTGACTTCTCTTTCTCTGCCCCATGAACAGCAGGAGCTCCCGGCCCGTGTGAACCTCTCAGCTGCCCCAGCCCCAGTCTCTGCTGTGCCTGCCGGCCTGCACTCCAAGATGGACCAGCTGGAGGGGCAGCTGTTGGCCCAGGTGCTGGCACTGGAGAAGGAGCGCGCTGCCCTCAGCCACAGTGGCCACCGGCAGCGGCAGGAAATGGAGAAGGAGTTGGACGTCCTGCAGGGTCGCGTGGCTGAACTGGAGCACGGTGGGTCCTGGGTCCTGAGTCTTGTGGAGGGCATTGGAGGGATCCTCAGAATGACAGATCCACTCAAAAAATATATCCATGCTCCCCCAGAGGCTAACATGGACGGACGGGAGGGTTGGGAGGAGGCTGTGGAAAACAAGATGAAGAGAATCATTCGGGGATATGATTATAATTATCAGCATTATTAACAGGTCTCCTTTTCTGGCATTTACTGTGTCCTGGGAGTGTGCTAAGTACTTGACACATCTGCTGATTTAATCTTCACAGTTTTCACAGATGAGAAAACTGAAGCTCAGAGAAGTCAAGTGTCATGCTCAAGGTCACACAGACAATAAGTGGTGGGTCTAGACCTCAAACAAGGGTCTGACTCCACAGTCACACATTTAACTACCCACGAAATACCATTTTCAATGAATCAGTCAGGATTTTATTTAACACCTGTGCTTGGCACTGCCAAGGGGTCAGAGAAACACAACGGGCAGGGTACAGGTATGAGCATAAGGAGACCTGGCTCCTGGTTGCATATCTGTCTCTGGCTGGCTCTGTGACCTCAGAAGGTCACATCCTTCCCCAGGCCTCAGTTTTCCTCAGATCTCATGATTTCTCAGGGACCTTTCAGCTTTGAAGTCTTGTGAGGACTACCCTTAAGAGGCTTACAGACAAGTTGGGGAAAACAGGGGAAATGATGAGCAGTTAGCTGGGACCTACTTAGATGTGGAGTGGTTCAGGAGAAGAAAATACAGGGCTGGGTGCAGTGGCTAACGCCGGTAATCCCAGCACTTTGGGAAGCCAAGGTGGGTGGATCACCTGAGGTCAGGAGTTCAAGACCGGCCTGGCCAACATGGCAAAATGCTCTCTCTACTAAAAATACAAAAATTAGCTGGATATGGTGGTACATGCCTGTAATCCCAGCTACTCAGGAGGCTGAGGCAGGAGAATTGCTTGAGACTGGGAAGTGGAGGTCGCAGTGAGTCAAGATTGCACCACTGCACTCCAGCCTGGACAACAGAGGAAAATCTTGTCTCAAAAAAAGAAAAGAAATTCAAATCTAAGCTGCTTCCTAGAGGAGGCGACCTCAAGCTACTTTTTAAAAACAGAGATGGGGAGCAAATTTCAGAATGAAGGGGCCATAGCAGGGGCACAGCTGCAGCAGAGGGACAGGTCTGGTGGCTCGGGGACAGCATCCTGGCTGGAGCACAGAGACAGGAGAAGTATTCTCCAGCCCTCCTCAGTCCTGCCTCTGGCCCGTCTACCCTGGGTCTCCAAGGGGGCCAGGGGAAACAAGTTTAATTTGTTGAAGGTCACATGGCTGGGAAGTGGGGGAGGCAAGATGTGGTCTCAGGACGTCTGAGGTCTAGAGAGCAGAGAGGCCCCAAAGGCACCGGGCATGCAGCAGGTACCCTACGAGCTGTTAGGCTTCATTCTGAAGTGTGCCCTGTGCACCCACCCTTTTCGGCGTCCACCGACCTCCACCACGTCTGCCTTGCCCACCCTCAGGGTCCTCAGCCTACAATCCCCCAGACGCCTTCAAGATCAGCATCCCCATCCGCAACAACTACATGTACGCCCGCGTGCGGAAGGTGCTGCCCGAGCTCTACGCATTCACCGCCTGCATGTGGCTGCGGTCCAGGTCCAGTGGCCCTGGCCAGGGCACCCCCTTCTCCTACTCGGTGCCTGGGCAGGCCAACGAGATTGTGCTGCTGGAGGCGGGCCATGAGCCTATGGAGCTGCTGATCAATGACAAGGTGGGTGTGGCCAGCAGGGAGGGCTGGTGGGGTGATCCAGGAGAGCCCTCTCCATACTGGGCTCTCATTCTGTTGCTCATTCTCCTGCTTTGCATATTCAGCACACATTAAATGCCTACTGTGTGCTGGGCTGGGCTCTGGGAATATAAAGACAAGCCAGACACGGGGCTGCCTGAAGAGAGGCTGTGTCTACAGAGGCTCTAAGTGTTGTTCCATTTTACAGAGGAGGCAAGTGAGGCTCTTGGAGATCCAGTGACTTCCCAGTGACCCAGCTATGGGGCAGGGCTGAGGTATCTGCCTCCAGGGCCCTGCTCATCCTCCTGGACTTAAAGAGAAGGGAGGTACACAGACCTACCTGGGGATGGAGGGAGGAAGGGAGTGCCAATGGCCTGCTCGTTCCTTCTACTCACCTGAAGCCAACCCCTTGGGCCCTCCCCCCTATGGAGAGTAGAAAGGTGTTATGCTCAGACTCTGGGTCCCTAATGCTGGTTTGAGTCTTGCTTCTGCATCTTCACCACAGTCTACTAGTCATCTACCTGCCCTGTGTCTCAGTTTCCTTATCTCTAAAGCAGGAATGATAAGAGCCCTTGCCTCTTAGGGTTGTAGTGAGAAGTGGCCTAACTGCATGTGGAGGTCTTTGAGCAGAGCCTAGCACTGAGCAGACATCAATAACTGTGAGCTATTTTTATTATACCAAGCACTACGCTAATAAGCAGTTTACTCACATTATTATCCTTGACCTTCCCAACTGCACTCATTATCCTCATTTTGCAGATGGAGAACCTGAGGCTCAGAGAGGGGAAATAATGCACCCTGGCTACACAGCTGCTGGGGTGTGATGTGATTCAGGGTCTTGGGCTTCAGAAACCACCTCTTAACCCCTCCCCTGTTCTTCCCTTGGCCCAACCATCTTCCTCATGCCCAGGCCTCCCTCCCCAATCCCCATCCCTCAGACTGGCTGGAAGGCAGGACAAGGACAGGCCTTGGCTGTGGAGAATGATGTGGCAGGAGCATGGTGATTGAGGGAGGAAGGAGGGGAGCATCTTATCACTGTCATTCACTCCTAAAGTTCCTCCCCTGCCTGCCACATTGCTTTGGGCCTTGCAGACATGGTGGTCTACTGATACCCCCCTGGAAATGCAAATACCGTGTATTATACCCACCTGTGACCAGCCCACAACACATAGAGCCATTAGGAGTGGTTGACACCTATCAGAACCCAGCTTAGCAGAAGGTGCATTTCATAGCTTTCTGGAGGAGGAGGAGGAGGAGGAGAAAGAGGAGGGAGGGAGGGCCCAGGGAGCAGTGACTTTCCCTTGTGGCCCAACAAACTCTATGACCATCGACCACCGGGATGGCTGGACTACATCTAGATCCTGCTGCCCTTTATCACCCTCTCACTGCCGTCCTTGCCCAAGTTCAGCACTCAGTTCTCATTAGAAGAAATTCAGCACCCTGGACAGGGCACCGCACAGCATTGTATTGGGACTCGGGAATCCCGAGAGCCAATCTCACAGACTGCTCACTGTTCCCCTTTTATTCCAGCCTCTAAGCCTTTACTTCTGCTGTGCCCACCACTTGGTTTGCCTAGCAATGGAATGGTGGCTCCATTGTCCTTCCAGATGGGTTTTGACATGGCTTCTATTCTCATATCCCCTCTTCCTCTGGGCCTGGCAGCCTCTGTACCTCCCATAGGGCCTCCATTATTTTGTCATATAGCATTGCCCGGTCCTTCCCTTCCTGAAGACTCAGCTCATTTAAGGCAAGGACCAACTCCACACCCCTAGTGTCCACAACAAAGCCAGGGACCATGTAGGCCTCAGAGAATGTTACATTAAATTGTGATCTCAGCCCAGGCAAAGTGGCTCATGCCTGTAACTGGGAGGCCGAAGAAGGTGGATCACCTGAGATCAGGTGTTCACCATGTTGACAGGCTGGCCAACATGGTGAAACCCCGTCTGTACTAAAATTACAAAAAAAATTAGTCGGGCATGGTGGTGCATGCCTGTAATCCCAGCTACTCAGGAGGCTGAGGCAGGAGAATTGCTTGAACCTGGAGATGAAGGTTACAGTGAGCCAAGATCACACCACCGCACTCCATCCTGGGCAACAGAGTGAGATTCCATCTCAAAAAAAAAAAAAATGTAATCTCAGAAATCTTACCAGATGAGGGAGCCCTTTGGGAGCACCAAATCCACAGACAGCAAGCACCTTTCATCTCACAGGCCAGCTGTAACCCATCAGCAGTGGCTTCCCAGAGCCCTGAGCTGAATCAAGGCTTGTGATTGATTGGCTATGTCTGCCCTGGGTCGAGGAAGAGGCCGCAGCTGTAGATTTGCCATCCCTTGTCTGACCTTTTCACTTTACAGATGAGGAAACTGAGGCCCAGTGAGGAAGGAGCAGCCTCCCCAGGTCACACAGGGGTTGCTGGCAGAGCCAGAACCAGATGCTGGAGCCTGGCCTCTGAGTCTGAGGTTCATTCTATCCCTGCCAGTACTTCTTGAGCCCCAGCTGTGTGCTGGGTGCTGTGTGAGGTGTTCAGAGGAGGTTGAGATTCTGAGACGTCTCTCCACCCCGATGACCTTAATGAGCCTGTTGGAGAGTGAATGAACTACTTAGTGGCAACTGAAAACCAAAACCAGAGAGTCCCTTGTGATCTGGTTTGGTCTTTGAGGAAAGAGGAGAGAGGAATCGAGGAAAGACACTGGTCAGGAGGATGGAGAGGGCCAGGCCTGGGGTCAGGCCCTGGAAGGATGGATGTGGGTCTCCCTAGCCCTGCCCCACTGCCTCAGCCTTGGGCCTTGGGCCTTGGGGCACCTCTGACCTGGGGCTGGGGGACCTGTGTCCAGGTGGCCCAGCTGCCCCTGAGCCTGAAGGACAATGGCTGGCACCACATCTGCATCGCCTGGACTACAAGGGATGGACTATGGTCTGCCTACCAGGACGGGGAGCTGCAGGGGTCCGGTGAGAACCTGGCTGCCTGGCACCCCATCAAGCCTCATGGGATCCTTATCTTGGGCCAGGAGCAGGTAAGACTCAGGCTGGTATTGGAGCTGGACCTCCCCATTGTGCAGATGGGCAGACTGAGGGCCAGAGAGATCAGAGACCTACCCAAGGAACTAGAATCTTGGAGGTGGGGCTAGAGCCTTGGGGGTGGGGCTTCAGTGGGGACGAAGGTAGCTTCCTCGGGGACAAGAGCCTGACTGAGCCAGCCTGTCTTTTCTCCTCCCTCACTCCACATCTCTTCTTTCTCTGCTGCTGTCTTGGCTCAGGATACCCTGGGCGGCCGGTTTGATGCCACCCAGGCCTTTGTGGGTGACATCACCCAGTTTAACCTGTGGGACCACGCTCTGACTCCAGCCCAGGTCCTGGGCATTGCCAACTGCACCGCACCACTGCTGGGCAACGTCCTTCCCTGGGAAGACAAGTTGGTGGAGGCCTTTGGGGGTGCAACGAAGGCCGCCTTCGATGTCTGCAAGGGGAAGGCCAAGGCATGAGGGGCCACCTCATCCAGGGCCCCTCCCTTGCCTGCCACTTTGGGGACTTGAGGGGGGTCACATTCCCTCCTCAGCCTGCCCACGCACTGGCCTTCCCTCCTGCCCCACTCCTGGCTGTGCCTCCCGTTTCCCTTCACCTGTACCCACACCTCCAGAATGTCCCGCCCTGCGAGCGTGTCCCCTGTCCCCACCCGGGTGGAGAGGAGTGTCTCAAGTGAACAGTGGGAGCCTGCCCTCCTGGCATTGCATTGGAATTGTCTCTTACCCCACCCCTCCCTGCCCATCAATTGCATCTGATTTCACTAATTCTGACAGCACCCCCCGTAGGGTAGGGTTGTGTATGTGTAAAGAGGTCAGATGCTTTCCAACATGACACCCAGAACATCTTCCTTTACGCAACACCCAAAGATCTTGGCATCCCCGCACTTCCTGGGGTGTTATGATCCCTGGGCATACACCCCTCTATCTCAGTGGTAGGGATGTCTGTCCACCCCCTTGTCCCCCATGCATCAGGCCCAGCAGCTTCCTCTTCAGGGCCACAACAGGCTGTAGAAGGGGATGAAGAGGATACTGGAGGTCACACTCACCCTCCTCCCTCTTTCCACCAGCTGCCAGTCAAGGGCAGTGGGATCTCGATGGAGCCACCCCCACCCCACCCGCACCTCCCTCTTCCTCCTCTTTCCTCCTTTCTTTGTGTGTAGTGGTTTGAATGTTGGTTCCATGCCTGGCCCAGCCCCACCTCAGTCTCCAGGACATTCCTTTCCCAGCTCCAGCCTGGAGGGAAGGGGACAAAGACCCCAGAAGGACAAAGGGCTGCAGCCACTCCTTGTGCTCACCCATATCGATGGCCACTGGTATAGTCATCCCTTCCCCTCTGTGCCAAGGATGGGACCTGGACCACTTCAGGCTGGGCTGGGAGCGGCCCTAAGGCAGAGGCCTCATGGCCCAGGAGACCCCGCCTCTGGCAGAGCCACATTACCTACCCCGTGCATGGTCCTGGAGCAGGAGGGAAGAAGCTGAGAGGGTGGGGAGAAGCACAAAGCAGAGGGCAGAGCACTGGGTGAGAGAGAGGAGCCCTTGGTTCCTAGCCAGCCCTGCTAATGTGCTGTGTGGCCTTCTGTATGTTCCTGACCTCTCTGGGCCTGGCCTTCCTCATTCCTGAGCTGAGGCCCTTGCTTTGGTCATTTGCTCTCCAGACTGGGTGTGAGCTTCTCTGTGAATCCAGGTGGACAGGTGGGGGAATGCCCTGGTGATCCTGGGCTTAGCAGGGGTGGGTCCTGGGACTCAGCAGTAGATGGGATGAAGCCAGTCATGGGTTAGGGTCAGCAGAGACTCAGAGTTAAGGACAAGGTTCAAGGCCGACTAACCTCATGCTTGGATTGTAAAAAAACAGCTCCCTCTGGATCATCCCAGCCTGGCACCCCTTGCCTGTCAGAGAGTGTCTCAAAGAGCTGATGGCTTCCTTGTCCCCTTGAGGCATTGCCAGCTTCCTCAAGAGAGTGTCAGAATCTTAGAGCTGAGAGGCCAGGCACGGTGGCTCATGCCTGTAATCCCAACACTTTGGGAGGCCAAGGTGGGTGGATCCCTTGAGGTCAGGAGTTCAAGACCAGCCTGATCAACATGGTGAAACTCCATCTCCACTAAAAATACAAAAATTAGCAAGGTGTAGAGGCAGGCCCCTCTAGTCCCAGCCACTTGGGAAGCTGAGGCAGGAGAATCGCTTGAACCGGGGAGGTGGAAGTTGCAGTGAGCCGAGATCACGCCATTGCACTCCAGCCTGGGCGACAGAACAAGACCGCATCTCAAAAAAAAAAAAAAGAATCTTAGAGGTGAGAAAAGCCACCCTGTCTAGCACCACATCTGCTTGTTAGAAATGGTTCAGGGAGAACATGTGACCTGCACAGGCTCACAGGGCATGATGGGGCAGAGCCAGGACTAGAGCCCAGGGCATCTGACTCCCTCTTCAGTGCTCTTCCCCTTCCATGCTGCCTGGCCCTGAGGACCTTTGAATTCAGTCTACACCTAAGCAGGTGGACACCTGAGAGGTCAAATGCTTTCCAACATGACACCCAGAACATCTTCCTTTACGCAACACCCAAAGATCTTGGCATCCCCGCACTTCCTGGGGTGTTATGATCCCTGGGCATTTCGGCAGAATGGAGACCTGAGGTGTCCCTCTTGTGCTAGTCACCTACCAGGTGTCTGAGCAGCTGCAGGCTACCTGGCTCAAGTGGGCACTGGTACCTCTTGCCTACTTTTTTGTTCCCTGTCTGTCTCCACTCCCTGAGGCCACTTAGCCTGAGACATGACGCAAGAGCTGCAGGCCGGGGGGTTCAGTGCCGTGGAAGCTCCTCCAAGACACATTGCCTCCGGTGCCCAGATGCTTGCTTCCATTTCGAGAACATAAATAGATTGCCAGCCCCTCCGGTCCAATCCCACTGGAAGAAAAGGTGATGTCGGGCTTCCACCAGACCCGCTGAGACCTAGGTTGCCATGGTAACAGCCAATGACATCAACCCAAGTGCTGGGTCAAGTGTCTCATCATAATGGCACTGTTGCTGGGGTGATGGTAGAATTCAGAACCTTGATTTCAGTGACGCCAAGCTTGATCTGTTTCTGTTATTGTCTCGAAGAAGGTAGCTCTTATGGAGGACGTGGGAGAAGGATAGGGTCTTAACAGGGAGGTGGCGGCACTTGCTGGGTCACTTGGGCCCACCCAGACACACAACCCCAGGTCCTTTATGCTTGTCTCAGTGAAGATGAGGGTTCTGACGCCTGAGCCTTGTTCCCATGCCACATCACCCACTCAGCCTCCCAAAGGGAACAGGAACACGTTTCACCAGTATGCCACTGTTTGGGTCCCACTTTTCCTATCTTCTGCTGCTCCTGAGTGCATCCAAGCAGACAGAGAAAGAGGAACCAGACGTGGCACCCAGTCACATCCTGTGTGCTCCTGGCTGATAACCACAACGGAGCCTATGTTTGTCCTGCCATCTGACACTGCACCGAGTGTGGCTCAGGCACCGTCCCGTTGATCCTCACAACACAGTTCTGAGTCAGGACATTCTTGGCTCCATTAGACAGGCGAGGAAACGGGCACAGAGAGGTGATATCATCTGCCTGGTGTCAATCAGCTAGCGAGTGATTGAGCCCAGATTTCAAACCACAGGGGGTTTGAAACCAAAGGTCCGGGGGCTGAGTACCCCCTTACCTGTGTAGAGGTCCATCTGGGCACCATTGCTCCCATGTGTTCCGACCCTGTTCTCCAGCCCACAGGGCTTGAAGTGGAGGAACAGAGGCAGGGGGTGGGTCAGCCCTGGGGCCAGGGTCCCCTTGGTGAAGCCGTGCCAGGGGGATCATTTGCTTCAGGGAATGTGTCCCTCCCACTGTGGGCCAGAGCTTCAGCCTTTCTCTAGCTCAGCTGGAGTTCACAGGAGAATCAAAAAAGAAAAGGAAGCTGAGCATCTCCTGAGGGTCCTGGGCAGGGAAGGGGAGGGAAATTGCTGCTCCTCCAACTCCTGCTTGGAGCCAAGCCCTGCGCCAGGTGCTTCCCAGCTGTTATCTGCCAGATCTTCCCATCTTGTGGCATGTGGTGCTCCCACCGACATCCCAAGGGGACCAGTTCCCTTGCCACAACTTTGCATGAGCTGGGACCACAGATTTGGGCAGGAAGCGCTCCAAGAGAAGGCCGAAGCGCTCGTTTTTACAGATGAGGATGCTGAAGCCCGGGGAGGGGTGGGACCCTCAAGACCACCCAGCTGGACACGGGAGACTTGAGCCCAGCCTTCTGACTGCGTTCAGCCCTCTCTAGGACACAGCAGCCTCTCCCCAGCACTGAGTCGCCCTTTCTCTGTGCATCCCAGCACCCTTGGCCTGAGTAAACTGGGAAAGGGGCTCCCTGCCAGAGATGGGATTACTCTCTTTGCCCTTTTATTCCAGCTGCCTGCCACTCCAGACCCCACCTCCCACCCTGATCCCCTGACTCCTGTGTGGGGAAGGGGCTCACATGGGGCCAGGACGAGTGTGAATGAGCATGTCAAGTTGTCCGACACTGTGACATTAATGCACCCTACTGACAACTCCTCCCCAGCCTCGCCCCTTTCTCCTCTCCCTGTTTTGTACATAAATTGACATGAGCTGCAACGTGTGTGCGTGTGCGTGCGTGTGTATGTGTGTGTGTGATCTGTGTCATGGTTTTGTTACCTTTTTGTTTTTGTAAATTTGAATGTTCAAAATAAACATGCTGTTTACTCTGAGGCTCTTCTTTGCAGGGATGGGGCTGCCCTGTAGGGGAGGTGAACGGGAAGGAGGGGGATGCTTTGGACAGGGCAGCAGGGAAGGGCAGAGGAGGTGCCTGATCCTGGAAGTACCAAAGCCACACGCACCCCTAAATAGGCCCCCAGCTGACAAGTTCTGCCTGTTCCAGGCTCAGGCACACCCCATTTCCCAGGATTTATGCAGGAAGGATGTAAAGAATGCAAGTCCCACATGGAACGTGTCCCAGTTCTGTTAATTGGGCTTCGGCCTCATTCCCAATACCCCGTCCACACCATGTGCTCCAGTTCTGGGATCCGGGTCCCTGACTTGCTTCCTGGAACCCAGTCTGTCCCAGTCACTTGCCTGGACCCCCAGTGTTTCATCTCTTGGAGTCCTAGGGAGGGGGGCATGGGTGAGGTATCCTGGTTGTTGTATTTCAGCCGTTCCCTTCCCCACACTACTCAGACTCCTCTGACATGTTTGGCCTCTAGACTGGACTCTAAGACCAGCATCAGGCTCGGCTACCCCACCCCACCCCTACAGCACCCACCCCATCCTTAAGAGGGTCGTGAACTAGTCCCCAGCCTACCCTGCACACACCATCTTAGAGACACAAAGGCTTCATCCTCCTCCTCTATCAATACTATCACTGTTCTTGGTTGGATGTTGATCTCAGATGATCACGGTGAAAAGTCAGGGTGCTGGCCAGGGGTGAGGGGATTACACCTGCAGGACAGGGCTTTCCAGACTTTTCCAAAGCTTTCCAAACTTCCAACAAGAGTAGATTCACCACATGAAGACCAGGGGGTAAACTATCCCTGGAAGTGGCACTTCAAAACAGGGAAACTGCACTTGAAGTCTGCTAAATTATCTGAAAAATTCATGCACTTTTCCATTCTACTCCAGAATGAATCCAGATTTGTTTTAAAATAAAAGTATTTTAATTACCACTGAGCAAAATTAAGCTGCAGGCAGCTACGCCTTGTTTATCCTCTGTTGCACCAGTTTACTTGCAAACTCTGTCTCCCTCTGTCCCACTCAGCTGGCTAGGTCCAACCCTGGTGAAATTCTGCTGTGCACCTGCACAATTGAACACAGATGTGAAAAAGCATGGGTTTTGGTGTGTGTTGAGTCTCATTTTCTTTTCTTTCTTTCTTTTTTTTTTTTTTTTTTTTTTTTTTTTTTGAGATGGATTCACTGTGTCCAGGCTAGAGTGCAGTGGCTCAATCTCAGCTCACACTGCAGCTTCCACCTCCCAAGTTAAAAGGATTCTCCTGCCTCAGCCCCCTGAATAGCTAGCTGGGACTACAGGCACACGCCACCATCCCTGGCTAATTTTATTTTTGTTTGTTTGTTTGTTTTTTAGTAGAGACAGGGTTTCACCATGTTAGTCAGGCTGCTCTCGAACTCTTGACCGCAAACCTCAAATGATCCGTTTGCCTAGGCCTCCTAAAGTACTGGGATTACAGGTGTGCCTCACTGTGCCCAGCCTGACTCTTATTTTCACTCTTTTGCCGGAGATCTCCAACCCTGCCCTGCAATCTCAGTACACATTCCTTGTTTGGCGTCTTGCTCTCCAAAGTGACTGTATCATATCCCCTCTCCTCAAGTCTACAGCCCTCCACTCCCAGCTCTGCACACTCAAAGATGGCCTTGCCTCCTAGTTCATTAAGAAAACCATTAGTTCAGTCTTCCCCCATCACCCCACCATCAAGTCTGCCTGCAAACCCGCACTGTACCCGGATTTTCTGGCTTCCCCCAGTCACTCTGAATAAACTGTCGCTGCTCCTATCAGAGGCACTGTGTCATGGACCCCTTCCTCTTCATCTTCTCACCAACGTTTCCCCTGCATTACCAGCCTATCCTTATCTACTTCGTCATTTCCGGCAGGCCTGGGAGTCTGGCCGAGTATCTCCTTTCTTACACAGAATCCCCGCCTTGAGCCCATACCTCCTGCAGCTGGCACTCATTCCTTTTCTCCTTTCACTGCAAAACTTCTTTAAAACTCAGGTGTATCAGGGGTTCCCCAAGACCACCATCGGGTTTGATGATTCACTGGAAGGACTCACAGAACTCAGAAAAGCTGTTAAACTCGTGGTTATGGTTTATAACATTGAAATGATATAGACGCAAATTAGCCAAGGAGAAAGGCACATAGGGTGGAATGCAGGACAGGCCAGGACCAGGATTCCAGTTGCTCTCTCCCAAGGTACTGCGGACAGCACGTCACTCTCCAGCAGTGATGTGTGACGCACACATGAGAGACTTGTCCATCAGGGAAGCTCACCCCAGCCTTACGTCCAGGGTCTGTACTGGGGGTCAGTTATGTAATGGAGCACTTGTGTGACTGACCTTAACTACTGTGTCTCAGGACCCCTTCCAGAGGCCAAACTGATACAGGGTGACCAAGGGCATTTGCCACAAAAGACTTTGTCATCATTAAATTATCTGGCATGGTCCAAGGTAAACAAAGACAGTCTCATCAGGCAGATGTTCCAAGGGCGTAGAAGTTACCTGCTGTGGAGCTGGTCCAGGCCCAGTCTTTTCTTTGGAATGCACAGGTTTGATCAACCCAAGCCTGCTAAGTTAATCCTTTGCTAGACAGTGGGTCTATAGTTTTTTGGGGTGTTTTGTTTTTGTTTTTGTTTTTGAGACAGAGTCTTGCTTTGTTACCCAGGCTGGAGTGCAATGGCATGATCTTGGCTCACTGCAACCTCTGCCTCCTGGGTTCAAGTGATTCTCCTGCCTCAGTCTCCGGAGTAGCTGGGATTACAGGCACATGCCACCACGGTTGGCTAATTTTTATATTTTCAGTAGAGACAGGGTTTCACCATGTTGTCCAGGCTGGTCTCAAACTCCCGAGCTCAAAGTAATCCTCCTGCCTAGGCCTCCCAAAGTGCTGGGATTACAAGTGTGATCCACCGCGGCTGGCCAGGTCTGCAGTTTTGATGCCACTTCATCCCACTTTCAGTCACACCTTGTCTAGTTCCCATAAGGCTGCTGCTGCCCCCACCACCCCCAATTCCACTGAAGTCTCACCTGTCCAGGCCAGCAATAACATCCATGTTACAAAATCCAATGGCTAGGCCTCTGCCATCATTTTAGCCGCACTCTCAGCTGCATCTAACACACTCCTTCCTTCTTGAAAAATTTATTCTTGGGCCAGGCACCGTGGCGCACGCCTGTAATCCCAGCACTTTGGGAGGCTGAGGCGGGTGGATCACAAGGTCGGGAGTTCAAGACCATCCTGGCCAACATGGTGAAACCCCGTCTCTACTAAAAATACAAAAATTAGGTGGGTATGGTGGTATGTGCCTGCAATCCCAGCTACTCCAGAGGCTGAGGCAGATAATTGCTTGAACCAGGCGGGACCCAGTAGGCAGAGGCAGCAGTGAGCCAAGATTGTGCCACTACACTCCAGCCTAGGCTACAGAGTGAGACTCCGTTTCCAAAAAGAAAAGAAAAGAAAAATTTATTCTCTTGCCTTTGAAAACACAACCTCTCCTGGTTTGTCTTTCACCTCAGTGATTCTTAAACTGTAGCCTGCATAACAATCGCCTGGAGCGAGTTAAAGCACTGATCGCCCATCACTGGGCCCCACCCTGGAAGTCCTGAGGCAGTAGATCTTGGGTGGGACCCAACCGTCTGCGTCTCTAACAAGTGCCAGCCGATGCTTTGGCTGCTGGTCCTGGGATTGCACTTTGAGAACCACTGCTCTATTTCATGGGTGCCTCCTCATCTCCCTGTCCCTAAATGCTGCAGTACTCCAGGGCGTAGTTCTGGGTCTCTATTCTTTCTACCTAGACACTCTCCCTAGGAAATCTCATCCAGACCATGGCTTTGACTCCCTCCTAGATTTTTCCCTGAACTCCACATTTGCATATCCAGATTACCCAACAGGAGTCTCAAAATGTATATATCCAAAACTAAGCATTTGATCTTCCTCCCCCATCCCCACTTGCCCCCATCTCAGTAAATAGGCTCAAATAAGTAGCCTCAATCTTGGTTGCTCATTGACTTCTTTCTTTCTCTCATCCATCTATTCAATCCGTCACCCACTGACTCAATCACTAACCCATATCTCAACCCATGCTCACTTCTCTCTACTCTGCTACCACTCTGTTCCAAGCCACCACTGTCTCTTGAAAATGCAGTTTCTGGTCGTGCAGTGGCTCACGCCTGTAATCTCAACACTTTGGGAGGCCGGGGCGGGCGGATCACTGAGTTCGAAAGTTTGAGACCCGTATGACCAACATAGAGAAACCTCGTCTCTACTAAAAATACCAAAAAATTAGCCAGGAGTCATGGTGGGTGCCTGTAATCCCAGCTACTCAGGAGGCTGAGGCAGGAGAATCGCTTGAACCCAGGAGGTAGAGAGGCTGAGGCAGGAGAATCACTTGAACCTGGGAGGCAGAGGTTGCAGTGAGCTGAGATCACGCCATTGCACTCCAGCCTGCTGGCGACAGAGCGAGACTCAGTCAAAAAAAGAAAAAAGAAAAGAAAATACAGTTTCCTCTCTTAAAATCCATTCTCTGGCTGGGTGCTATAGCAGCTCACCCCTGTAATCCCAACACTTTGGGAGGTCAGGCAGGAGGATTGCTTGAGCCCAGGAGTTCAAGACCAGCCTAGGCAACATAGTGAGACCCTGTCTCTACAAAATATCTTTTTTAAATTAGCTGGGCAGGGTGGTGTGCACCTGTAGTTCCAGCTACTCGTGAGGCTGAGTTGGGAGGATCACTTGAGCCTGGGAGATAAAGGCTTCAGTGAGCCATGACTGTGCCACTGCACTTCAGCCTAGGTGACAGAGTGGGACTCTGTCTCAAAAAAAAAAAAGAAAAAAAAAATCAGTTCTCCTTATGACACCTACAATGATCATTGCTATCAAAATATTGTTACTCCTCTCTGTAAAACTCTCCGAAGCAGCCAGAGCGCAGTGGCTCATGCTTATAATCCCAGCACTTTGGGAGGCCAAGGCAGGTGGATCACCTGAGGTCAG